TGGCCGTACTGCTCTCACCTACGCTCTCGTCTATGTACATTTCGTGTGTCGATAAAATATGCACGAAAAAGAACTGCTCTGCTCTTGTGTATACACTTTACGCCCCGTGTCGATACTGTAAAAAGTCATGTCCGAGAGGAACACGGAAGGTAAAGAATGGGGAAATACCTACTTACAATCGCGTCACTTGCAGCTTAATATGTGTACTGCACAAAGAGCGTGGTATTTCACGACTTTTGCGCTTGCAAGCCAATTTTTATCAATTTCTTCTTGTTTTTTTCCATGAGCTCAATCAGGTAAAAAAGGTGTCAATTTTAAGTATTGTGAGAGGTTTTCTTCGAATTTTGGCGTTGTTTTTACAGATTTCATATTTTAGATTTAGTGAATTTTTGGATGCTAGCAGGACTGTTAAACAGCGGCCGTGTGTTCTATATATCAACCAGGCCACCAGTGTTATCACAACATAGAAGTTACCTGAGAACTTTTCGTTTACACATGATAAATTGATGCACCAAAGTGCTAAAAGGTGGTCAGGGCGTGCATACGCGCGGATGCACACGGTCGTCAACGTGTTGAACGGAAAAAAAAACAAAAATCGATGGTAATTGTTAATTAGTGCTACTTTATCTCAGCACTGTAAAATTTAGCATAGTACGCAGTCGCAGAACTGTTGCCCGTATTTACTCGACTTTTTGACAACGTTGCCGGAGTCATTTTGTTATATAACTTTCCAACACCCTTACCCCCATTTTGTTTTTTGTTTTTCATTTCCTTTTTTCGCTTTTTTGGATTTTCTACCTTTATATATATTCTTCCAATCATCTACAAAACAGGTTATTTTCTGAACCATAGTTTACCTTAAATGTATGTACTTATACTTTTTTCATCCATTTCCTATTGATATGTCCTCTTTTGAAGTCTAATCGAGTTGCCCTTTTCTTCTTCTGTGTCCACCCTAAATTTCTCACCTCCATTCAGTTGTCAACAAAATTCTTCGGAGGCCTCAATCTTGCATAGGAGTACGAATTTTCTTCTGGCAGTGGGGAACCAAACCTGTCTTTTGTACAGCGAATTTGATTTCTTGCATTTTCTGCAAAATAATCAATTCGAGGTCTTCTGTGTTTGCTTTGCGGAAGTAAGCCCATTGTTCTCTTGGCCATCGTTTCGCTTATTTCCAAATTTACAGCAAATCATCTTGTTTAAATCGTAAAAATTCTCCCTTTCATTGAATCACTTCATTCACGTATTCTAAAGCTGTTTTTCCAAATTTGTGGATAAAATTTTTGCTTGTTTATTTCTATAAGAGCCGCAAAAATAATGTTATGTTCTACAAAAACATCAACGCGAACCTTATATTCATAAACTTTTTCGAAATACTTAACATAACAGACGGCCGCCCTCAAAATATGCAACTTCATAGTTTTTATTCTTCCGTGACATGCTTGTTTGTACTCAATCTGTTTATCCATTGTCCTAGCCACCTGATTATGATGTAAAGTTCGTTTCGAGGGGCTATTGACCCAAATCCCATTCGAACATTACGATGTCAGCAACATAGCCGCTGTGACATCAAAATGCGAGCAATAAAACATTCGTATCTGCAGATAAAGTGCGTGTGTCATTTTATTACGGTCACTTATGGAAGAAGAAATAAAGCAGATTGTGGCTATAAACGTGCTCATTTTTTAAACTCTACGTTTCTTTGATTGAAAGACAACCATCGACTGGGAAAATTACTTTTATAAGTCTGCATCTTTGGGAGAAAACCCATCACAAGCAAATCAACTAGATATGTAAGTTGCTAATACTCGCGTGTATCTGTGAATAATCTAATTAAATTTGTGAAAATCGCAAACACTGAATTCAGTAAATAATTTTGGGGCATAAATTCCTCTACCTTCCTTTTTTAATGTTGTCCCAAACCTATAAGGCCGCAAAGTTTTCGAAAATGCCTAAATTGCGGAAGGCATGACTAACCCCGCTTCTTTATCTGAAACAATTTTTTATCTTTTCTTCTCCAAAATATGCTATTGATGAGTTAACATTCGATTTCGCGCTTCTGTAAGGGGTAGAACGTTAAATAAATCTTCAAACTCTTAGTCAACCCATGACGTTGACGCCTAATTTTGTGTGGCGGCGCTGTGGGACGACGCGATTTTGCATAACATCTGCCGTGTGGAAGGTTTTATGGTTATTCACAAAATGCAAGATTGTTTTGTAAACAACTGAAACATTTTCTTGAACAACGGAGCCCCAAAAGTGCAAAAAATTGGAAAATACCAATATGTGGAAAAAATACTAGGCCTGCAAATGATATGACTTTCCCAGAGGTGTGGGCCACTGGTGGTCCACATCGTCGTCAATGGGTTAAATCGGCTATACTAGTGAAGATACAAGAATTATTTCGCGGATATTAGCCCGAGGCCATGAAATTTTTACATTTTTCCACCTTCAACGAATTTGGTGTTAAGGATAAGTAAATAATTGCCAGATTAAAATTTATTTACCTTTCCTTTCTTATCTTGTAGAAGTACAAGTGAAAAGTGGTCTTTTCGTTTACCATTGCACATGATTGCAAATATCGGCGAACATAAAGACAAAATTAACGAAAAATTAACGTTGGGGTCACTTCTGATTTTTCCTGCTATCCTATGTAATCTTTTATGCATTGTGAACTAGTGGAGGTCTTGAACATAGGATGAAAGAAGACATGCTTGCGCCGAAACGTTTTTTGCGCTGAAATGCATTCTACCTCTATGTTTATTTAAAATATTTGTTTTCTCAGTTCAACTGACGTTTCCTATTTCAAAGAGCAGAATTTCTAAATCTTTTCCGTTTCAGAATCTCCAGTTTTTTGAACTCGTAAGTAGAAGATTCCTGTTTCAAAGCCAGCTTATTTTTACTAGAATCCTCCTCTCTTTGGTCACTTATTGCTGAGCATTTTGCATGCTCAATAGGCGTTTTTTATACTACACAATTATATTTGATAGGTATTGAATAATTATTCCACGATATTCTTCCCAAATCTGCATAATCCAGCTCGCTACACTAATTTTCAAATTCGAAGATCACTAAGCGATCATTCATGAGCATCAAATCGATAAAACACCACCACCCGAACGACTTTTCGCCGTCGTGCATGTCTGTGTGTTTTATTTCCGACGACGGTCAATTTGTTCTCTTAACGTGCAATTAAGGTCAACGCAAAAATCTCTAGGAGGTCGTATCATTCGATTTTTTTTGCGCCGTCGCACATTCATGTAATACTTTGATGCTTCGTCGTTTGCTAGAGTAGTGTGCATTTGCAGAATTTTGAAAAATTCATAATTCCAAGTCATTTTTGATGGAAAAAGACTCAAGCTTTTTTGTAACTCATTTGAAATATTTTGTACTTGAAAAGACTTTACTACATATCTTACTTTGGTCATGAAGATTCGCTTCTGAACCTCCCCCCCCCCACTTCCCCACCTTCCCGTTATTTCTGAAGAAATCAGAAACTAGGTTTTTGTTTTACAGAATGTTAAGAGCTTCCATAATCGGATGGAAGACGCTATGTCGCCAAGCGCTATCAGCTGGGCGGATAACTGATACCAACTGTAATGTACTAAGATGCACGATTTGTGGCCGTTATTCGCGCAGCTGTGCCTTCCCCTCCCATAGTCTTTCTTGAATAGAAAATCAATCCCTAAGCTGTCAGAATCTTCCATAATCAGACCAGAGACCGCTTTTTGTTATCTAGCCATCACACGGTCATCAGTTGTCACTTTTTTTTGCAGAATTATCCACACCACATGGCTTGATAATCTTATTTCTCGCTTTTCGTGTACTTTCTCCCCTCCCCCCCCCCCCTTCTGCCGCGTCCCCATATCCCCGATTCCCCGCTGCTTCCACCCGCTGTCCTTTCCATTCTTGCAAATTGTTGACAACGTCGCGCAATTCGCCCCCCTATCCGTCCTTGTTATCAGTTCCGCTGATAAGTGGAAACGATATCAACGTCAAAACATTTTGGACTATTTCACATGTTGTAGCACTTTAAATGCAAAGATTATAGTTTTTTAGGGTGTACTACTTTGCAGACTTTTTTCTGCGTAAGTGTGAATGTGATAAAAACTGTTTAATACCAAGTTAAGTTTTTTTCATTTTATGTAATTTTGTAGAGTGATTTCGTCTGCATTTTATACTACATGCGTGCTTTGTTCCAACTATAGGCTTTGCCAAATATTTCGTGTCGGGACCACAATATACCAATAACAGGCACTGCAGTGGGCGGGACTTGAATCGATGGCAAAATCTTCAAATAAATTAATAGAATTGGCCTTGAGTCAGTAATAATTTCTCTTGATAATATTCCAATATATACCTTCATCTCGAGTATAGACAGTAGGTTTACTTACTACCACTCCAGAAAAATTTGGGTAGCGTCTTCGAAGTTTCGTTGCGTTTTCATGTTGGGACCACAATGAACCAGTCACAAGGGGCGGGACTTGAACAAAGTGGCAAAATTCTTGAACGAAGTACATTATATTATCACTTTGGAATCTAAACTTTTCCAGTGAGATTCATTTTAAGTCTCTTTTTGTGTACAGGAATAGACTTGCATTTCACTGCCTACGGAATGGTTTATTTATAGCTGTGTTGCATTTTCGTTTTGGGAGTCCACTGGACCAATCACAGGCCTGTATTTCAGTTAGTCCTCTTCACAAGTCATTTTCTTGTATTATCTTGGTCAAGTTTCATTTATTCCATCATCACTACACTTTGCAAATTACTAATCGTCTCTTATATCCATTGCTCCTTTTGTGGGTGGCAAATTCAATACCCTAGGTGATTAAGCCGCATATTCACACCCTGATAAGTGCCTCCATTGAAGCTTTTATCGCTTTGATGTCTACCCCACCTTCACTCGTTTCCCTATGGCAAAGCCCTTATTCTGAAAAATCGAATTTTTCCGCATTACGTATCGAGTTCGATAATCGGCTTTGAGCGCCGGAAAATCCTTGTTTTCAGACTGCCTTTTCACCGTCGACATCTAGCAATCACACTGTGTGAATGATCTAATTCCATCAACCATCAGCTATCCATCTCGTCCAAAATTCTCATTCCGATGAAGGTCGCAACTCCACCAGACATCAAAGTTAGTGTAGCGGAAGTATGCGAGGTAAGAGAGCGGTTTCGTTTTTTGTGCTGAAATTTTCTGCTTGAACGAAGGTGAACATGCTGTAAATTTGATGTCGTTGATCTTTGGCTTGTGATGCATGATTCGAATTATGTTATTTTCGTATTAAACAATGTCTCTCTCTTTTTGAACAAAATATTTCCGACGAGATTATTCTAAGTTCTAGTTACATGCATTTTTGGTTGCTTGAGCTGTCACGTTCAGTTGAAATAAATTCTTTGTAGAAAATGAGACTATTAGTTTTTTCCCATTTGGTCATAATTCATTCGGGGGGTTATTTGAATATGAATGTTACAATTTCGATCACGTAAACAAGAAGTCCGTATGTCAAACATTCACGCTCTAATGATGAGACACTTTTTCCCCGAACTACATATTCTTTCTATTAATCTTGTTGAATGTGGTATGTTTGGTTATTCACCTTTTCAGCTGCATGCCAATAGTGATTTATTCTTTGTTGGGTTTTTCTCCTGTCCCGCTTTTTGGGGCTTGAAAAATAGAAAAAAAACACCGACAGGTGCAGTTTTTTGGCTATTAAAGTATGGAGGTATCAGGCAATCGCTTGAGGGGCCTATAAATCCATTCAAATTCGAAAAAAATGTAGAATAGTAAAACGATATTTATGAAAACGTAGAATCAACTTACTCCTACCATTATTCACATACTTGATTACTTATAGTCTGGATAGTTGCGCAGCTGGTTACGTTACCGTTTGGTTATCTTATTCATGTATTTCTCAAGCTCAATGTTAGTAGTTTTATATTTTAGGTCCGAGGTGCTGGATTAGAGGCCCATGAGCTGCTTTCCCTAGCAGCATCTGCTGCCGAATGTTTACCTCCATGTCCGAAAGGGACCGTGTTTGACACTGAAAATGTATTTATCTCAAGCCGAGGGACAGTTGAGGTATTCTCATTTGTTTTATTGTCTTGCACATGCAGTATTTTTTGCCATCCCAGTATCATAGTATCAATTTCTATACTGAAAACATTAGACCCGCTTTTCCTTCCGTATCATTGTCGATCATTTGCAAGAAGCGGCTTTCTGAGTAGTTCAAGATGTATATTAATGATATTTTTGCGAACTTGAAACTTTCTTGTTTTTTCTCTCTTTTTTGCTGTCCCGCAAGGAAAGGCCTCAAAAAAAAAACTCCATGTGGCAAAATGGTTCGCTAATTGTAGACATGTGTCACACCTTGAGTTTCTATTGTACGCAAGCCTTTTTTCGATAATTACGACCGCCATCCTTTCCAGATAAAAACAATTCCACAATCGAAGGCAGACCCTAGTTTCATACCTCCGGAATGGTCGAAAGGTGACGATGATCCTGGAGCGGCAGCCGTTTATTGTATGGGAGCAGGTTTGTGAATTTCGATATTGTAGCTGGTGCATATTTTTCTGCATCGGAGAACACTGAGGCGGAATGAAGAATGTTCGGATCCTATTGCATTTGTACTTTGTGCTTAACGATGTGTAAACGAAATTTTATTCACAATTTTGCTTGAGAGGGCGAGAGGGGGGGGGGAAGAGTGTGAAAGGGGAGGGACATCATGGGAAGTGAGTGGGAGAGGAAGAAGAGCTTATGTATATACAATGAGATCAAAAGAATTTTTTCTCACGCCAATTTCCTTTTTGAGAAGAAGCTTTGGAAAGAAACCTTGGTAGTTTTCCATCCACTACAGAGCGGAAGAATTCAATTACTTTGGGGTTGAAACAGGATTTTTTTTGAAAAATTGCAATTTTATTTTTATCAGATTTTTGTCATAAAACGACTACCAGGGTCTAAATCGAATAAACCAGTAGAATTTTAATCGTCAGAATCTCCTTTACATGACCAGTGTTGCTTAGATTTCTCAGAAACAACTTCTTCACCCCATTTCCGTCATTTTCTCCATAATTGTCTCCATTTATTCAGTCCTACGAGCTGCTGGAGCCGAACATGCCGCTGATGTCGACTTATTCTCACTGGTGAATATACTTACCGTAGCCATGGTCGGGACGAGACCTACGGCTCATCGAATGGGTCTCATGGCTAAGTTAGTGATTGCATTCGAAAAAATTTTTATAAGCTATTTACGTCTCCATCCTGCTTTTTCATTCGAAAACATTAACGTCATAAAAACCAATAAATGATTAGCACACACTCACACTAAGTTTTCCACAAAAAAGGTACAGTAATTAATTTTTCACTTTTATTTTTTATTTACAGTTGTCGGCGTCCTATTGACTGAGCTATAAATGCTGAAGAATATTAGCCATGATTTTCCTTTAGTAAGAAAATCTGATATTTCATCTTACAACCATGAAAAGTACTACTTGATAAAAATTTTGATCACTTTTTGTTCTCTTTGTAGAAAATTTATAATTAAAGGGCAGTCTTTTTCAGTGCTTCTGGGATCAGGATCTGTTGAAAAGAAAAGTCAAACTTTACTGTTTCAGTTTTCCTCTAAGAGAGCATCTTACATTTTACATCTTGGAAGGGTGGTTTTTGTGTTGCGTTTCTGGGAAATAGTTAGGGGTAGGGGACGTTACGACATCGATGCGCTCCACATTTACGGACATCTACCACAAACTAGGCAGTTTGATATAGTAATGTCCGTACCAGTCACCTGTGCTGGCGAAATCCGTCAGCGACACAATGCCCTCTAATTCCATATTTTTCGGGATTTTGAGAAATGGTGCTCGGCTCAACATAAAGCATGATTTTTCAATTTTCGCGCTACACGCGACGGTCAAAGTATATGTGAAATTTTGCAAGAACTGCATTTGCAGAAACTGAACAGTTTAAGAAGTTTGAGATGCACTAAAAAAATTGGGCTGTAAAGTTCACTCTAAAATTTAGGCTTTCACAATGTTTTCGGAAAATTTTTTGCTGATAAGTGAGATTTGATTTTTAATTGATTTCAATTCTCAGAGCTAAGCTCGGCTGTATCAGAACTGCTAGTCTGAATAAAACGATGATCACTCTCATAATGGAGTGGTCATTTTCCACATAATTAGTCCTTGGTCAAAATTACCGTTGTTTTGTCCTAAAACTATGCGTCAGGACATAACCACATAATAGTCACGATTAAGTGCTCTAATGTTAATCAAGCGTGTTCGGGGATATCTGGATATTGGTTTTTCAAGGAAAGGTTGTCAAACAGGCTCTAGACATGTAAGCAAAGAAAATTTCAGGAACCAGCTACGCGGACGAGATCCAACAGTATGTTTGATAACAATCTATGAGGAGATTATGGGTGATGAGGAGACTAATCAGGTACGAAATCCCACTAAGGCAGCGTTTAGAGTTGCTCGGTGCCGTCGCTGTGCCAGCGCTGTTCTAGCACCTTATCAGCCGCCGGGCTAACGTTGTGCCAGAGTTACATGGACACGCCCTATATTGATCGATTGATCTGGCACGGCGCTAGCATGGCGCGGAACGGCGATGGAACAGCGGTGGCACAAGCGACTTTAGAAGTAGCCTAATTATACCTCTTTTACCCTAAAAGGTTTTCTGAGTACAAATTGCTCTAGCTAGAAGACGGCGATTACTCCATGGATGAAGATGATGACGACATTGGAGCATTGATAGGGAATCCACCACAACGTATCGCTAATGGCAGTTTGCCAACGGTTACGGTGACAAATGTTTCCAATGTGTCACAACAGTCAGTGAAAAAAGCTGTCGATTTTTTCGACGAAGATGAGGAAATGGAATCTAGAGGTTTGTAGTTGGCTTAGTTTGGGAGCTAGTTACCGAATTTTTTTGATTCTAGCTCATTCTGCGTCCACGTCGTCTGGTCACAGTACGCAAAAAGATCATTCACCATTCTTTGTCGATCATGAAATTGACTCGAAAAAAGGTGGGACCTTAATACTGGCTTCTTTTTCAAAGTTAATTGAGCTGAAAATATGATTACGAATGCGCACAAACTAAGAACACCGTTCTCTTATGATGAAGAGCAAACAGATGCGTTCTGCCATTTGCCGTAGTAATAGCGGGGATGAAACAGAAATATCTCAATTATTCTGGTAGGACGGGTGTAGATCAATAAATGCTTGTATTCTTGTTTCTTGTTCACATAAGCCCTCTCTCTTTTTTCTGAACAAGAAGTTTTGTCTGTTTTATTTCTCCGTTTTATTACTGACAAAAAATCTTACTGTAATATGTATCATTCCATGCAAAACTCAGAAATTATGAGTTTTTCGCAAATTGCTACCGTGGGTTTGAAGACAATGATAAGTCAATTAACTTGAGTATATGTACGTAGTTCTTCATCCAACATCCAATTAGAAAACAAAAACCAATTTTTCTTGTTTTTTTTTTTAAGTTCGCACAAATGGCGCTATAGATCCTCTTTGAATATCTGTTGCTTTTTTGGTTCCCTTCAAATATTTCTTATCATCAGTTTTTAAATGCTTTCTATTCCTCAACTGAAAGCAGGCAAATAGCTTACGAAGTGCAGAATGATTGACTTATCATTTATTCTGTGACTAAAAGACTTGAAACCGCTTCGCGCACATCGTTAAAACAAAATTATTCATGTAATTAACAAATTCACTCTTTTGGTTTGATTGATATAGATTATCTGCTACTTGGAAACAAGGGAACAAATTCAAGCTTGTTTAGACGAATTTTGCAAAGCGTTCGAGTCTCTTAGTCACAGAATGAATAATATGTTGTGTACATTTCAAACATAGTGCATTTATGATGTCTGAAATCACTTCTTGCATTGCTATCAGCGAAAATAAATTGATTGATCTATACTTTGCCTATACCGTAAGTATGTACCTAACCAGTTTTTGACAATATAATAATGCTTCAAACTGCACTTAAGGAGTTACGAAATATGCGGGGTGTTTACATATGAAACCGTCTGACATATTTTGGAATTATACTGCATCTTTATTGAATGCAGTTACATTTGCCAGTCGTTGTTCACAATAAGAATAGCGCTTACTAGCTATTGGATCCAGATTTTTCATCAGCTTTCTTTCATTTTCCCATATAGAGATTATGTAGACCAAGTACAGAGGAACTATAAATTTGATTGAACCAATTAACTTTCTTTTTTTGGAAATTTCTCTCTATGAGCACGCCTCCACTTGTGTATTTTCCAGATGCAGTCAACTCCTCATCTGCCGCTCCAGTTCCATCAGCCAACGAAAGAGCGATGGAAAGCCTAGGCAGTCCAACAAGCGGAGAAAGTACACGGTTAGAGGAAACCTATATAGAGGAGCATTCAATAGATCTAGATGTTTCGTTTGATAAGTCAGTTTCCTACTTCTCTTCTATCCCTGTGAGACTTGAATCTTGAAACAAGAAAGAATTCACTGGTTTAGGCAACTTGAGACGAGTTTAGTAGAAGAAACGAAGGCTATACCGAACTATAGTAAGAGCAGTGGAGCAAAGCAGTTCAAAGAATCCAAGAGAGAAGATACATCATCTGACGAGGATCTTGACTTTGATGATGGAAAGGTGCAGCCTAGAAGGTCCCTTGAAGACGAACAGGTGGGCTCGTTCACAGAAAATTTGAGAGGTATTAGACTTGAAACATTCGAAATACACAGCTAGGTTAGAAAAGAATATATCTAGCCACTGCCTGTTGCATCCAATAATTTCCCACTTAGGATTTCTTCCAATCGTTTCTTTCCTGTCTGGACCGCGAAAATAGCCTGATTTACGAAACCTGCTCAAATTTTGTTGCAGATTAATTATAGTCGTCCTCACCCCACTAGTCGGTCGGTGGACGAATTCGAATTCGAACTGGAGCAGGCAGGTCGCGGCAGAGCACGGCACCTTAGCTCTCCGTTCAAATTCACGCATTCACTTTGCGTATTTCTTCGCCATTGCTTAGCAGTTTTTGTATTGTTCAACGTTTATAACCTATATTGAGTTTTTGTAATTGCTGAGCGTTGTTTCCTGCCGCGCTCTGCCGTGACAGGCCTGCTCCAATTCAAATTTGAATTCGTCCACCGACCGACTAGTGGGGTGAGGGCGACTATAGCCTAGGTTCACTGACCGGTCCATGCGCTTCCTGTGATTGTTCGTTGTTGGAACAGCAAATCAATTTCCCGGAATTACCGTACTTTCTCGGACAATTTATGGAATTTTTGAGTCAAATCTAAGTGATCCCCGGAAAGTTCCTCCAAACCCTCGGGAAATTCCCCCAAAGCTCTCGGGAAGTTTAGCAAATTCGTTTGTCTTCGAAAGGTTCCCATGAATCGTCAGAGTTTTTTAACCGGTCGGATCAAGTGCATACCTCTCGTTCTGTGATTTTTTTCCATTTTTCTTTACGAAATTGTGATTCCAGAAGATTTTGTCACTATATTCTTATGGGGGGGGGGGAGTTATAATATAGATTTCTGCAGAGCTGACATAGGTATAGAAATATTAAGATAATAATGGGTTAATGGTAACCTCTTGGTGCACGTGTGCTCAATCTTTCCTTACTATCACCGTTTCATTTTTCCGCGTCGTTTTTATCGTGGGCTATTTCATCTAGTTTGACTGTTTTTTTTGAAGATTTTGGTCACCAAATTCTGGGAATTTACATTATGAAACAGCATGACATTGTTGTGCTTTAGTTATATGTAGGCTCAGTCAAGTTAATTTCAGCCCTCATCTTTGGCCCAGATCAGGGAAAAAGCTCGGAAATCATTACCCCATCAAACTTCGTCTAGAACATCTACAGAGTCTGATCGTGACATCTCCAAGTCGAAACCGCTCATCAATCATCAACCTCTTGTACATAAGTACGTTACATTTTTCTTGCACTGGATCGCTTTGGGACCAATTGGACCCTTCATAGGTTTTCCTCTTCCGATGAAGATATTGTACAAGCACGTATTGATGATGACGACGATATGATAGCCCCAGCGCCACCAAGAAGGCGAAGTTATTTCGATGATATCAGTAAGAGAAACCTAGGATATTGGAAATTTCCCTAGAAAGATTTTTTTTCAGCCGAAGTCCGAGAAGAATTGTCAAAGACCGAGATGGAGACAAGTTGGAAACGACCAAATCAGAATCAGCCTAAGGAAGCTGCTACACCTAGTCCTTTGACGTCGACTCCTGGAACTTCGCAAGCTGAAGGTGCCTTACAATTCAAGGCAATTATATTTATGACTCTATTTTTTATTCTTTATAGATACCGCACCTTCTGCACGATCGAAAGAAAGTTCAATTTCTATGCTTGACGAGGAGGATATCGCCAGTGAACGAGAAGATCAAGATCGTACACATGTCGATGCTGTCGTGATTACGGTAAGTACAATTTTTTTCATATTGATTTTTTAAATAATTTTTATGTCTTTTAGAGTTCTCTCTTCGAGTTTCTTTTCTTATTTTACACAGTGTACAAAAATATCCATAAAAATAGCCCTCGAACACCGGTCAGAAGTATACAAATAACTAAAAAAATCCTCTCGAACCCGCTAAAATGCAATTCTGATGACATTTTTCATCTTGGTTTCCTTCCAAAATTTTTCTAAATAGCTGCAAAGCGGCCGGAAGAAAAAAATATGTGTGAAAAATGCTTCCGAAACCCTATCGCATTTCGAGATCTTTTATTTGTCCCCGCAAAGTTTTTGACATCTGCCATACTGACAGCTCCCTCTTTCCTCCGTGCTCAATCCCGTTTCCTACATCCTTGCTCTATTTTTTCTACTTTTTTTAATCCTTCAACTCCTATCCTTTCCCTTCTCTCTCTCCCCCACCTTCCTCTCCCTTTTGCCCCATGAACTCTTAATCACAGCGTCATTTTGCCAAGTACTGCTGTACAACATGCTAAGTGAGTCAGCAACTTGCACAAGCAGCTGCCAGATGTGAAGTTTTTAGGAAATGCATGTTCCAACATTTGTCTTTTACCCCAACTTCTCCGTTCAACCCTCACCCTTTGCTGCATATTTCTCAATTCTTGGTTTTCGCATGAACGTTTTATGCGAATCGGGCGAAAATCTTGGAATTTAATTGCAAAAATCATGTGAAATCAAATCATTGCTGAAATGAATGCTTCAGTAGAGAATATTCTTTTACAAGGATTTTTTTTGCAAAAGCTCCCTTTTATGAAAATGCTATCCTTGCAATGTGAGGTATGGATTGTTCGACTCTCTATGAACCTCGGCATGGCGTAGATATTGTAGTTGTTGTTTATGTAAGCCGCACTCGAGATTGGTAACAATTATTTATTGGGTGGCTGACGTTTCGGCAGATCACCTTCTTCAGAGCCTGGAATGAGCAAAACGATCTGCAACCTATCCGATCAAACGTCTCTGCAGCTCCACAAGCAAAGTTCTAGGACTCTGCCTGTTCACTGACTAGACTGCCAAACCAAACACTTACCTTTTTGAGAATGCCGATAGCATACCAGTGCCTGAGCGAGCGCTAATGAATGGCCATGTATGCCACGCTATTTATATGCCTACAGTGAGCCAAAAGAGGTGACCCAGGTAAGGTGCGAGTTCACGAGTGATAGAGAGGCACTCCTCCTTGCGATTCATTTGTGGACTTTTTGCGTGAATCCAAAAGGCTTCCAAACATTTGCGAGCTGATGTTTGGGATTCATGCGATAAGATCTTCACTGAAACTTCAAAGTTTTCTCCAGCGTGCTTCAGCAGCCTGTGAGTGCCTAGAGGTGTGGTCGTGCGTGATCTATCCCTGCCGTCTAAATGCTCCTTAATGCGGACGCATAGAGGGCGCGCCGTTTCGCCGATATACGTGTCGCCGCAGCCCGCGCAAGTGATTAGGTAGATGACCCCTGACGTCACAACGCCTAATTGCATTATCTGCCCTGCGGCAGGGGCGGGGACTGCATGACGTCAGGGGTCATCTACCTAATCACTTGCGCGGGCTGCGGCGACACGTATATCGGCGAAACGGCGCGCCCTCTATGCGTCCGCATTAAGGAGCATTTAGACGGCAGGATAGATCACGCACGACCACACCTCTAGGCACTCACAGGCTGCTGAAGCACGCTGGAGAAAACTTTGAAGTTTCAGTGAAGATCTTATCGCATGAATCCCAAACATCAGCTCGCAAATGTTTGGAAGCCTTTTGGATTCACGCAAAAAGTCCACAAATGAATCGCAAGGAGGAGTGCCTCTCTATCACTCGTGAACTCGCACCTTACCTGGGTCACCTCTTTTGGCTCACTGTAGGCATATAAATAGCGTGGCATACATGGCCATTCATTAGCGCTCGCTCAGGCACTGGTATGCTATCGGCATTCTCAAAAAGGTAAGTGTTTGGTTTGGCAGTCTAGTCAGTGAACAGGCAGAGTCCTAGAACTTTGCTTGTGGAGCTGCAGAGACGTTTGATCGGATAGGTTGCAGATCGTTTTGCTCATTCCAGGCTCTGAAGAAGGCGATCTGCCGAAACGTCAGCCACCCAATAAATAATTGTTACCAATCTCGAGTGCGGCTTACGTAAACAACAACTACAATGTGAGGTATGTTTCATTTTTTGAAGTATGCCATCGACACAGTATGGGGAAATTCATTTACAAGTCACTATTTCATAACTTAAGTTCTTCTGACTGTAGTAATTTCTGCATGAGTTTTTCTAATTTTTAAATGCGTTGTGTCATCTGCGAGCACGTTTTTCTCAGTCAATTTCGAAGATATCGTAGTAAAATGGATTAGTGCTCTTATGAAGTCAGGTTCGAATAAAATCTATCATCCCATTTCAAATTTTTTTTGTTGTTATTGGTGCTTGCTTCTATGAAAGTCTCCTTTCACTCACCTACAGCGCAATCTTAACAAACGAAAATGATTTTGGTGTATGTTATTGATATGCAGTCACGATGAAGTGGATGATAATGTATTGTAATGCGCGGTGATTTGAAAAAGGTGTGAGAGGAAGTAGAAAGTTCTAATTAAAAGATTGAATTTTGAATGATATTTCAGCAATGCAATAAGATTACATGTGGTTATTCCTGAAATTTGCGTAAACGACTCACTAAAATTTTGTGAAATTTCCTCACAAGCTCAAAAGTTGTGCTGTTATTGTCAACTCTAGCTGATCAAAAGATTTTTTGGAGCTTATGGAAACCCATAAACTCCCAAAATCGTTAACTCATGGATTATGCTGCGTTTTTTGGAAAGATTCTACATGTGATAAGCCTTTTTTTCATGCCCTTCTCTCCAACCAAAAAATGGGAGAGATTTACGACTTACAAGGGAGGTTCGTGTGGTCGAAATAGCTTTTCCACATCAAACTAATACGACTTTGAAGGGAATAACGCTAATTCCAAATCTGTCTTCCTTATCTGCCAAGCCCCTCTGGGCGCCGATTATGAGTGTTTTTGGGTTGACAAAAATTGGATGCATAATTAGAACAAAATTCGTCAGAACTGCTCAAATAAATGTCAATCATCGAAGCACTTCAATCAAAACCAGTGTTCAAAAACTCGTACTCAACACTGCTGTTCTTAAGCGGTGAAAAGACGGTACATTTGACTTTACCTAGAGACATTCATTTTTCGCACAAAAACAGAAACATTCATAACTTGGCATCCAGAGGCGCTTGACAGGCAATGAAATCAAATTCGAAATCACCGTTTGATGCTCTTCAAAGTAGTATGAGACTCATTTGAAAAGGCCACTTCGTACTTCGACTAATCTCACCCTCCTTGCAAGTAAAAGAAGCATGTTTGAAGCATCAGAAAACAATTGAATTTTCAAACGTTGAAAAAAATGTCCACAAAGAAATTTTGAATGCAAATCCTAACTCTATAACGTCTTTGTCTGGAGTCTTCGAAAATGGGAAAAGGAGCATTGTATTTACGTGAACAGAAATGTAAAAATTTTGAAAGTGATTTGTCAGCTCGAACTAAATAAAATACTTCTGCTCTACACAAAAGTGTACAATTGATAGTATGATGTTACATATTTCCAGAAAACTCCACAAGAGCCAGTGAAACCTTCCGAAACCGCTGACGAAGAATCGACGATCGACGCAGCGTTTGAAGACGCAATTCGGCAGCGACGGCGTAGTAACGTGCCATCTGTAGCGGACGGAATTCTGTCACCGCCGACGCCACCTCCACCATCGGCACCAGCCGTGATCAGAAATGGTGACTATTATTGTAATTTTCTGCTCGGAGTACAATTTTTATTCGCTAAATTCGATTTCTGAAGATTCTCCGCGTTTCGAGAGGCATAATTCGTTGTTACCTAATCGAATAAGCGGAAGACAATCGAATAGAAGTATGCGAGGAAAGAGGAAGGTAGGACCACTTGAAAAATTTTTTTTAACAATTATGATGTTCTTTTTTCTTTTTCAGACTAGGGCTGTGCCCGAGTTCTTTGATCATTCTCGACATCCTAGCATTCGGCTGAAAGCTCCAAGTGCCAAAAAGGTGAGAAATTATACTCTCAATTTTTATTTTTGAGTCAAATTTTGCGACTAATTTTTTTATTTTAGAAGAAAGTGACCTTACTACGAGTTGAACAAGCGGATGTACAGGTGGAATTGCTCAATGGTCAACGGGTGGAGGTATGTAAAAAGATATTGAGAAGCTTTTGAACACAAGAATAATAAGTGGTTTTTGCCAATTTGAAGGAGTTGGCGCTTTTTGTAAATATCGATGAGATTTTTACTTTTCCTTTACTGCGGAAAAGGCAGTATCGCAAATATTTCTTGATTTTTGGAAAACTGTTTTCTATTTTTTCAGCGCATATCGTTCTCAGTTCTACGAAATTAGTTGCTTATTAAATACTGTTTTTTTGCAATGAATATGTGAAAGCTTTGATGCACCAAGCTTTTCGACAATTTTCTAGTACAATTCTCTTTCGTATCCCATCTTTTTTCATTATTTTGTGACCGCAATGCCTTTACAGCCTAATTTACCACAAACTAAAACACTGATTATTTTTTTTTCTATTTTCAGGTTTCCTGTCGAAGTGATGCTGTTGCTCGTGATATCTTCTCACTTGTCGTTCAACATATGAACATCAACGAGCATGTCTTTTTCGGGTTGAGCTTCATAAAAGGTATAAGATTTTCTTCTTTATTTCACTTCAAATCCGTGAGACTAAATGTTTTTCTATAGATGGTGAACATTTCTTCTTGGAAGATCATCAACGACTAGAAAAGTTTGCACCACCTGGTTGGAAAAGTGCTCATAAGAATGGAATACGTACTCAGTTTATACTCTACTTACGGTTTCGATTTTATCCTCAAGTGCTGGATTTTATCAAGTGAGTGTAAACTAATTTTCTTGGTAATTAAGTGAAGGCTTTCCATTTTCACTATCCATACTTGCATTGAGTCAATAACTTGATACAAACGGAAGTTTTGAAGGGAATTATATGTGGGTAGCGCCAGCACTTGCTAACAAAAAAAAGGGGGGGATTACATAAAAATATGTACTGTCCAATCAGAACAGCAAAAGTAGTGAAGGCTGCTTTTAACAAATGAAAATAAACTGCTTGAGACCTATAGAGATTGAGGATAAGATCTTGATATCCCCTCCCTGAGCAGCTTTTTTGGTGTTCTAAGTAAAAAGGATTTTCGACCGTAGCAATACATTAGAGCTATGCACGACCCTAATTTCAAATGACAAGCTCGCAAGGTCAGGATTGGAGCTACAGTACGATTACAGGACTAGTTAGAACTCTCAAACACAGCAAAGATAGTCAGGTTTACGACCCAAAATTTTTTGAGAGGGGGAGGGGAAAGAATAAGATGATTGCAAATGTAGGGGTGAGGTGTTAGTCAAGTCTCAACGAATTTCCTGGGAAAGATTGCAAGAAATTTTTTTCATATTTTTATGGGCTTTTAATGCTAATATTGATTGAGTCATGTTGGAAGCTACGCAAAAAATTATCTAATGGATTTGATTTTTAGGAATCCATAAAATTATTCTAATTATTTACGAATAAACATAAGTTGTCTATAATTTTGTGACCCTTGTACACGACTTCCAAAATCTTTGTGATCTCGTGATCTGCTTTACGGGGGGGGGGGGGGGGAGAGGGAGGAAGATACTGTACGCCATTTTCTTATGATTTTTCATGAGTGTGGTTAATATATTACACCCATTAAGGACTGATGTCACTATGCATGAGCTATACCTCCAAGTACGTCATGATGTCATTGAAGAACGGATACAACCTCGACGGGATGCTGCCTATGAGTTGGCAGCTTTGGCTTTACAAGCCGAATTTGGCAATCGTCCACCACCAGTAATCCATGATTACTTCGATAACCAACACTACTTACCTCAGGTAAGGTTCACTCTTACCCGGAATGATTTTTTTAAAAAAGTGAATAATTTAGCGTTACTGCGCAAGCGACGACCCGAAACGCTTGCAGTCGGTGTTGTCCGAGATGCACGGACATTATGCGGGTACAAAATCTGTAGACGCTGAGCACAAGTTCATCCAAATCTGCCAACGACATCGAGACTTCGGAGCTCATCTCCACCGAGTGTTCCGAAATAAACCGACTGGAAACCATGGCGCCGCTCCGTTCGATCCAGACACCGGAGCGGCCCTGTGGGTAGCCATAATGCCTAGAGGCATTGGGGTCTATGAGGAGCAGGGTTCAGTCAGGGAACTCTTGGCTGAACATTTGTGGCAGGATACGCAGACATTGCAGTTCGATAAGAAGAAGTAGAGTTATAAAAATTTAAGAAATCTCATATGGAAAAGGTTAAAATGTCCAATTATAGGTTCGTGATCATTGCGGTTGAGGGTAACCAACAGACTGAGTCCATCTTCTACACAGATCATCACACAAAGTAAGCATCAATCCGTTTGTACCTATCCTTTGTCTTTTCCCACGGCTTTTCTTTAAAATTATCGAGATCTCATTAAAAGAGGAAAGTCAAGTCAATTTGTCGTTTAGCAGTCATATAAGAAGTGCTAAAACTAATGAATGTTTGTGAAAATAGTCCAGCAGTCAGAATAATATGGATTCGAGCTTTTCTTAGACAGCAATACGGCTATGCTAAAACTTTTCATTCGTCAATAAATAACAAAGAATTAAAGTTATGAACCTACACTAAAACCTTATGGCTCACGAGAGCTGTGATCAGATCTACTGCATTTTTATTCTGTCCCCATGATCATGATCAGTTCCACAAATTTTGCTTATAGGGATCACTCTTAAATACATAAACATATAATAAGTACTATATAGAGCCTCCATGTCACCAATTTTTTCATTCTGCTCATGACCACTTCTTTTTTTGTGCTTTCCAAATACTTTCCAAGTACTTTTTCAACTCTGAGGCCTTTGTTTACTTGAACTCTTGTGCAACATTCAATCCTGACAAAAATGTCACCCTTATATATACTCTCGAGAGTGGTGGGGTCATTGTTGTCAAATTCGTGTCAAAATTCAACTCTTCTGATGCGCAACTTGTCGTTTCGATGTCACTTCACGACTTCATACATTCTGCGCTTGCTTTACTGCTGCGAATTCTACGATTCGTTAAAATTCAATTCAATTCTGCTAAGATGAAATGGAGATATCACTGGTAGGCTTAGCTTTTGTAAAACTTATTGAAATCGTAGGTAGTGAAAATTATACCGTCCTCTCTACTGTAAATCATTGAATATGAAAATGAAAGTGGTTGCTTTATAATCCGATTCTTTATTTGTGTGCTACTCTCCTTTGAGTGCCATCATTTACCTATTTCTATTATAAACAAGGTTTGGCTCGTTTTTGATAAGAAAATTGTAAAAATAGAGAAATGATAATAGAATCACTTTTTCTCTGCCCATATTTCTACATGTTGTGAAGTTTCTGAAAAAAGAAAGTAGTACTTCTTTCGCTTTCCACTCATCTCAGGGGCAGTGTTCAGAAAATTTTGGGTAACCGTACTTCTTACATTAGTAATTACTAATTTAAAGTCCCAAGCAACAACCTCCTAGTACTCTTCTGTAGTCGAGAATCTGAACTCTGAACTCTCGCCCAGTATTGTACTCCAGGACGCTGATTGGTGCGCTCTACAAGAATACGGTACTATGCGAGACTCTAAAGTTAGACTTCTTGGCGACGAATGAACGTATATGCGCTTGGGTAATGGTTTAGTTAGGTTTCCCAATCTTCCTCGTAAGAATTCCAGACACTTGAATAGAATAGAAGATCTTGACCAGACATTGTCTTCAAGTCTTTTTCTTAATGACTTTCGCTCAGGTTTGAAAGCATTTTTTTGCTTTGCTAGAGTTTGATTTCGGCGAAAAATAATGGAACAGTCGAATATCTGAAAAATAGAAATAAAACCCGAAAATTTATGAGATAATATCATAATGCAAAAAGAAGAAAAAAGGATTCTTCTCGCCTATCAAAAATTTTTGACTTTCGTTAAATAAATTTAACACTAATCATTACAGCGCTCCATACCCATTCCACCCATCCCTATCCTATCTTCATAAGTGCATTTAATGCGTTTTAAGATCGACTTACAGGAGCGCATACTTTGTGAAGTTCTCCGCGTCACAGCATCGGTTCATGATGCGAATGCGGCAATGGAAATCCACTCTGAGACACGAGAGCACGATACAGGCAATGCCCGATGTTTGCGTCGAAGGACGAGATCCACCGCAACCCCCTCAGCGAGATGGTAAGCGAATTTCTAACCTTAATCAGAAGCATATAGTTGAACATCTGTGACTTGATACGATGTATGTGCACCTGCACACTATGCGCAACAGCTGACGACATTCTTACTAGTTGCTTTTCAGTAAAATTTCCGGCGTAACAAACCGCAGAAATGTAAAGTACTAACTAATATATCCATTCCAACCAAGAGCAAGAAACAAGGAGAAATTACTGAAATTGAGCAGATTCTAATCTTACAAGTCGTCAGATAGCGCGCATGGTGTGCAATCGCATACCAAGTCACAAAACGCTCAAAGATTACAAATTATTCTAACCTTGCAGTGTTCTTCTGATTTGTTACGAAATCGCAACGATTCATTTTACTTCCATTTCTAATCGCAGATATAAAACTAGCGTTTATGACAAGCTATGAATACAAAGCAAGTATTTGGTTGCTTTTCGAGAAAAAGCTGTCCTAACCCATGTGTTGGCTATATTCCTCTTGTCTCCTTGTCTCTGATGTCTAGAGCTTTTTCTGATTTTCATAACAGATGAGCACATGGTTTCATCATGAAAAAGCATATCTAATCTGCGATTTTTACGTTAGATAATGGCTAATGCTTCGACTCTTGATGGCAATTTTTAGATCAAAATAGCTTCTTTTGTTTGGCATTATTCTAACATGCTTGACACTTTTGCATAGAAAAAATGTGTCCGATACTCTTACGTATGCATTCATCAACTTTCGACTTAGAAAAATTCTGAAAGGAGTTCATCTCACACTTGAGTATTTTCTACTCTTGAATAACAGAAGTTGATTATTTCTGGTCCATCTCAGTTGGGTCATCCGTTTCAAAAAAAAGGTTGAGCACCGTCCGCTCGATGGTTGGTGAAATTTTGATGCACTATAGTAGCATGGTCCCTAACTAAACAAAAATGTATTCCGAAGCAGGAGTAATGCTCCAGAAGATAAATGCTGCTGGGACTGCCGCGCCCACCGACGTGGATGGTCGAGTAATGAGCCCAAAATTGAATTGCAGAGTATACAGTAATCGAAAATGTGCTTTCATATAAAAAAGACGGATTCTTAACATTTATATGTACCACTGAGTCTAGTTTCAGGCTCATTGACTTTAGGCCAACATGATGGGCGTGGCGACCCCTGCAGGACTCACCTTCTGAAGCGATTTTCTCGCTTTGGAATACAGGTTTCAAAGTGGGACTTGTTGACTTACTTAGTAAGATGCGACGCTACTGTAGTGCATCAATTCTTATCAAATGTAAAGAACACCGGCTCGAGTCTCTTAATCGAGGAAACATTTTTACCCCGAAATATGCTACTGAATCTGCCATTTTTCGATGGTTCAACTAAAGGCGTGAACGTGCCTCAAAAAGACTAACGCAGTTTACAAAATCAAAGTGGTACTGTCATACATAACTTTTTAAGCGCTCGTTATTCACAATAGACTCCTCGCTTCTACTGTAATATCCTTATGCACTGAAAGTGATGTAGTGAATATGTTGTTTGTGCAAATGTGCATTAGTAGCCGTTCTGTGTTGTGTTGTAGTCGATGAACCTATGGAAGAAGCGCCATCGCCATTAGAAGCCGCTGAATCAATGTTTGCGAAGATGCCAACGGTGACACATCCGGAAACGGAGACTACTCCACAGCCAGCTCCAGCTCCACAACGACCGCAATCGCTTGAAGTTTCGAACAGAGATCGTACAGTTTCTGTCGAGAAGAACAGAGATCGTACAGCATCTGTCGAGAAGAACAACAATCAAGACTCGATCAATAGTAAGTGCTAGTGCTGCTTGATAGCCGCGCTTTGATGTTGTCGTTACTGTTATTGTTGGCTTTCGCATCGCTACTTTGAATTAGCTTGCAAAAATTTGCTTGGTTAAGACGGGGATGAATAGGGTAGCAGAAGTCAGCCTTTCTTAAGCAGCGTCCATAGTTGCCTACGCTACAGCGCCGCGCCGGAACCAGTTGACGCCCCATATCGATCGATCGACGTGCAGGCACTGGCGCGGACAACTCTGAACGCACCTTCAGAGCAGTTAAGCACAAGTTTTTTTTAGATTCAATGGTTGAACGATTTGAAACACTGCATCCGGTAGAATCACCAGACGGAGAATTCCCTGGCATGCGCTTTGAGGTCACTCTGGTTAAGGTAAGGGTCATCCCCACGCATATCACTTTTGATAAGAAAAAAGATTCCTTTCAGGACCCATCAAATGGCTTGGGATTGACCTTGGTAGATGGAAATCTGAATGGCGTCAAAGGTGTCTATGTGAAGTCTGTGGCAGAAAATGGTGCTGGCATGCGAGCGGTACGCTATCTTACCGTAGCTCTACTCACGCGGTAACGAAGTGATAAGATAAAAAAAAACCTCTTCCAGGGTCTCAGCGTTGGTGACCGGCTTGTAGGCGTTGATGGTATGTCACTAGAAGGTGGTGACCGTCACAGGGCTGTCGAACTCGTCCGACAATCTGGTGACTCTGTTCGGATGGAGATCGCTAGGTTGGATGGCGTCGTTCGGCATGAAAAAAGTACGTTCTTTCCTACCTCCCCTCACACCCCTTACCGTGGTTTTTATATCGTATGCATGTGATAGAATCTGCACTAATTCGTAATGTGTTGTGTTTGTAGTGCACAGTGGTGATGCAGCAAAGAAATTAAGCTCAGGCGGAACACCAGGAGTGTTGACCGTAACTCCACAAAAAGGTTTTTGCTGATTTCTTCCTATTGCACTCTATGCTTTTTATTTAACGACTGCTTTCGAAACAGATGGTTTGCTAGGTGTTTCCCGAACACCTCCCGCACCCAGACGAGCTGTCAACCGTCGCCAAAGAGCTGTCTCTGATTTTGGAGCCATTGGTGACACCTTACCTGCTCTTGACAGCGATAGTGTTATCAACATCAAAGCTATTTCTGGGTAATTATTGATGACTTCAGTTTTTGAACGATTTTGAGGGTTATCCTATTAAAGGTTGCACCTGGATGAATCAGACGAGGAACAAGGTGAATATCGACTGCCAACCTCCTCGATGTATTCGTTTGAGAATCACTATGATGATGATAGTCCATCATCGCCAAAGGTCAGAGGAGCTCAAAAGCTCACCAGCTATAATTACGAGACCTCAAAATTCGCTTTCTAGACCTCAGAATCCGTGTCGCCTACAGAACTGGCACGCCACGCTGTTCCAGCACCGGAGGGAAGGCGGAAATATCGTTATGCTAGGTAAAATACCAAATCCGGAATCATTCGTGACTGTATTGTACATGATAAAACCGAACAGCGAAAGCCAAATTAAAAACGGCTAACTTCGATAGTTTTTCTTCTGTCGTACAGATTGTGTATGGAGTAAAAAAATCTGAACTTTGTTTCGTACCTTCTCTCACACTGGCTTTTGAGCTCTCGGAATTTGGCAGTAAAGAGAGAGGATCCAGTATGAATGAGTGATAGTTGAAAAGTCGTTTGTCCCCTTATTTCCGCTGATTCTCTTCTTTTCTCCAGGAAATCTAATCTAGAATGGACGGACGAGTTGGAAGAAGTCGGTGAAGAAAATGAGACAGAGGACGACATCATAAATGTAAGCTTCATTTGTGTGCTGGATAAAGTAGGCCTACAACTTCTTGTCTTCGATCTTTGCTATATGTCTTTGATGATTTTTACATTGTGGAACAAACCAAATAAGCAAAATTCGATTTAGGTGGAACTGGAACGAAACTCTGTCGGATCCCTTGGTGTACAAATCGCCTCCGTAAGTGGCCGAGTCTGTATTAAACAGCTAACATCAGAACCAGCCGCAAGCCATCCTGATATCCATGTTGGGGACACCCTCGTCTATGTAAGCCTCCTATCTCCTTTACTCTATATGGCGATAGATAGAAATGAAGCACCTTAAGCTTTAGCTTATCAAACTTTAAGCTTATCGTTATGATGCTCTCAAGTAGTTGCTTGCAAAACAAGAAAAACAGAACAGGTTTGCTAACCTGCAAAACACTCTGCGGAAATTCCCTCAAATTTAAGTCTTCGGGAAGTTCTGCATTTTGCAGAACTTTTTGAGGACTTTCTCGGTAAGTTCCTAACTGTGTTGCTTTTAACGTCCAAGTCCTCGGGAAGTTCCCCTTTTCACTGCTCCATTTCACCTACGTGCTAAATGAAACCCTCGGGAAGTTTGGCAACTTAGCTTGCCCCTCGGGAAGTTTGGCAAATTAGCTTGCTCCTCGGGAAGTTCCCATGATTTGTCTGAGCTGATCCTTTAACTCCTATTTCTTGTTTCCGAAAAGGAAGTTTTTCAGGTTAATGGCGAAGCAGTCGCAAACAAATCCCATCAAGAAGTTGTTTCAATGCTAAGAAGCGGTGGTAACGTAGTCACCCTAGGCTTAAGGCGAGAACCTGAAAAGAAAGGAAATATCATCACTGCAGTGTTGGAGAAGAAACCTGAGGGTTCGCTAGGTACGGTAAAATACAAGATTTAGCTCCAGGATCGAGGTGAATGTGAACTTTCAGGTCTGTCGTTGGCCAAGAGAACTGGTTCCGAGGGTATTTTCATTAGAATGATCGCTGCTAATTCAGCTGCTGCTGTGGAAGGTGAGTTCAAGGAAACGTCGGAATGACAATAAAATTTGGACACCGGGAAGAGGAGAGAAAGGAGAAAGGGGAAATGTTGATGTTTTGAGATTTCGAAGTTTATGCCATTTACTTTATATACTGAGAAAATTGTAGTTGAAGGGTATTTCCTGCTATGAAGATGATTGATGTATCTCCTGGCACCATTCAGAGTCCCACATGCTTGCGCTGTACCAGCCCCAGTTCCCGCGCCGTGTCAGCTCCGTGCCGGAAACACGTGTGCCCTGGCACGGCGCTAGCACAACGCTGGCACTGGCAACTTTGGAGTTCAGTCTAAAGCAACCAAATCATCCACTATCTATTTTTCAGGCAGTTTACGCGTAGGCGATCGCCTTCTCTCACTAGATGGTGAAAGTGTCACTGATTTGACGCCGACAGCGATTCTGGAGCGGTTACGAGCCATTCAAGGAGCTGTTCACGTCACTGTATCAAGGGATCCCCAATGAGTTCGCTAGCTTTTCTAGCGTCATTGTCTTCCCACCAATCTTCACTGAACTTTTTTTTTTCAAATTTTTACTACTTCTGGCTCGGTTCTTATAGTGCTCGATCCGGTCATACTTGGTTCTATTCATGTCGTGAATGTCCCCTTATTGTGCTAGAAATTTCTATTCTTCTGAGATCTGTACATATTCGAGTACCTTGCGACCTACTTAATTAACTGTGCTTATCACTGAAATCCTTACTGCTACACAAGTGTTCGTGCCTTAATGATTGCTCATCGATATTCGATTATAGCGCTATATGTGATTGATATCCTATATTTGTGATATTTTGTAGTCGGCAACACTTCAAAATGAGCGAGTATCTCCCCCATGACCGTAGTAGGCCGTCGTGCCGCTGATTTGTTGTGTGACTACACCACCCACGTCAAAAGTGCCCCATGATTCACGTGATTTGTGGCACTTATCAAAACTTTTTTGCACCATATCTATCTCTGAGTTCAGGTGCTTGTTGTGAGGTAGAAAGAAAATTACTTGTTTGTTTGCAACAATTTCTGTACTTGCCTCGCCACTATAAATTATTTCGCACTCACTAATAGAGTTTATTATTAAGTAAATAATAAATGCTAATAACGTTCACTTCTTCCATCCTGCAGAGAATCTTTCTTTTGCTGCTGGTTAAATTAGATGCGCTCTATAATTGAAGCCGAATATTTCCGAATATTCGTTTTTGTTATTCGAATTAGAACAGTCAAATATTTAGGAAAATGCATCTATCTGATTATTCGAATAAAATTGGAAAAGACCTTTATTCGATCATTTGTTTATTCAACGAATCGAAAAATTACTTTAGTAAATTTCAAATATTCAATAAGTTATGAGCGATTTGCTCGCCGCATGCGTGGTTCCTACGCGAAAGGAACTATGTAATTACACAGGCTGTAGGAAGCTCGCTAATTTCAAATATATCTCAGTGGTTTCAATATAATAATAAAACTCATTGAAAATAATAGCAATAAGACACTGCGCAGCTAAAAAACGAATTTTTCACGAACATATCTGTGAAAGAGAAGGAACTCTGCTGGAGAAGTATTTTATGTTCCCCAAAGACACATTTACAACTGCGTACAAGATTGTGCAGGATTCTCTGTCATAACAGAGATTTTAAAGGCACCGTCCACCCAAAATTTCGACCTCCATGTTTTTGCCGTTCCAGGGCCTTCTCATACCCCCGATTCCGAATATCAAGTTGAAAATCCGCGGGAACCACGAAAAACCCCCGTTTTAGAACCCGCAGAGCGATTTCTTCGGTACGGTGATTGGCTGGGCGCGCACGAATGGGCGGGACGAACGTCACGCCCATTCCGAAAGGGGAGGAGCCAGCGTCGCGAATGCTACCTGGAGCGATTTCCGAAGCAATTTTCTCGGTTCGGAAGCAACTTCAGGCAGCGCGAATTGGGCAATCACACATACGGGGGCCCCGCATCTGCTAGGTATCATAATCTCACCAACCCCAATTTGGGTGGACGGTGCCTTTAAACCCTCTGGAAAGCTTTGGGCTGATGAGCGCGGATAGCCACCGTCGGTAGATTACGGCGCTGTGTACCAGAAATGTCTCACATGAGAAGGATATTCAATCGAAGTGGCCTTTTAGGGTATTATGAATTATTATGAATTATGAGTACCATCTTGGAGGACATCAAAGGCTGAATCCAAATCTCCCTTCTTTGTCTGCGAAGGATGTCCGAGCGAGGAGATATGAGGGTTTGTAGGCGCAAAAAATTGAGTAAGCGATTAGGATAAAACCATTCGTTGAAATTTATCTAATCAAAATAAGGCAGCGGAGAGTGAAGCTATACTCAAACTAAGAGGATTTATTTCACGGAGTGCTCTGACAATCATCATCGCTGCTTTCGAAGCCTAGGAAAAATACGATTTTACCCAGGCGGCGCATTCAATTTTTGTTCTGTTAAACCCCTCATAACTCCTGTGCAGAATTGCCCCGCAGACAAGAAAGACAGATTTGGAACTAGCGCTTTATGCCCTCCAAGATAGCATGCACCATATACTAAAAGGCCGCTTCGACTAAACATCCTCCCCTTGTCAGTATATGTGCACCAGATCCAGATTGGTTCCGTCTACTATGAGAAAACTTTCTTTTCCTTAAGACTTCAACGCATATAAATACAGTGCATATCCATTTTCTATCCTCATCGGCAAAACATTTGAAAAACAGACGAGTGATCTCCAAAATTTGGAATGCAAATGATTTCAGAAATAAATGAAAGACGCTGCAAGATTCCTACACTTGGTATTCACATGACAAACAAACAACGCTGCAAATCACTGCATTTTCTCTATTCAAAAAAAAAGAAACAATTATGCTGTTTAATTATGTTCCATCATACACACACAAATCACATGGCTGCATCAAACTGAATTCAGAAATTCAGAAAAAAAAAACTTTCACAGATAAAGACTATCACTTGTTCAGAAGAACACTAAATCTGTGCAGAAGTCTTTCACTTTCTGAATGAAAATTCTGGTCTTGGGCTCATAAAAACATACTGCGGTGCATAAATCCAAGAAGCCCTTGAGCGAAAAACTTTGTCAAAAAAATCAAGCAGGTTCACAATTTTATAAATTCTGAAGAAATGTCGGAAGCAGCATTGCGGCTACTACGATATGAAAATGCTGAAAGTGAGTGGACAGCAAGCGTTGAAACTCTGACTAAAAAACTAATGTAAGACATTCTTTCCATAGGTCTGTGCCGCTTCGAAATGTCGCTTCGAAGAGACAAAGATACTGTGCAAAAGATGCAAATAATGCGCTTTTTTCTAAACTTTTTATTCATGGAGCATAAAATTTCGAAAAAAATCACGAACATTCTGCGAACGACAAACCTAATGCCACGCCCCTTTCAAGAAAAATTTCTGTTGCACTCCTCCCATGAAAAATATCACTGGATAGTTTATGAGGACCTGGCTGCCCTTTCAAAGCTTTGCCATTTTTTTTAGTTGACCACATATCAACCAATTATTTTGAGCACGTGTAGTAACTCTTGTGTCACCATTCAACCAACAAGGCCTTCAAAATTCATAAGCGTTACAAAATTACAATGAGCAAGAGCGATAATCTGTGAAATCCCGTGCTCATACTCATACTCGTGCGCATAGCCATACATTTTCTCTTCCCAATCACAAAACCAAAAAAATTATAAACTTATTATTAGCAGATGAAGGATAGTCTTTGGGATGCGCACAATTAAGTTATAGCTACAAGGAGAACTCAGAGATTTCCAGGCATAAAAATGGACGGACATAAGCTTTCTGTATTAGAATTATGAGCTGAATTCTCTAGTTTGGCTTCCCATAGAAGGATCAAACTGAAAAAAATCTAGCTTTGGAACTTTTCGTTGCTTCATGTACAATTTTGCAGCTATTTCTAAAAGCAAATTTTTCATAGTAGCTAAAGAACACATCCCAACTTCGCTTGTTTCAATAAAGTCAAGACAAAAAAACGTTCCACATTATGTTTTGCAGTGCTTTGCAATAAAAAAAAAACCTCTGCAGATGAGTAAATCTGACGTTGCGAGCACGGGGAATCAGTTGCATTCAGTTTCACATGCAGTCAAACATGTATTTCATTGCGATTGTGGTAGGTTTTTAATTCCATACTTTCCCTTTGTGGATTACCGTAAATTGACTTCAGCTAGTGTTTGTCCCCTTCTCGCATGCCGGTAAGTAACCCTGAGTAAACTTGTGGGCTTCAATGATGATGGTCCTTGCAGACATCTGCCCTGCAGGTAATGGCATGACAGACGTCTTGCGACTGAACATCTTAAACGTTCACAATGTGTTCAGGTAGGAATAAAAAGAGTAAAGAAAAAGAGTGAAAATTTGGTCAAAAAGATATGTAGCCAGCAATAATGACTAGAGAATTGTATGAAAACTTAGTTGGTGCCAAGAAGAATCTGGTTGAATCAGGGTTTTATCTGTGTACTAGTCCTAGACGTCATTCCTTGGCTGCAGCCTTATTTCCACTCCCATTCCCTCCCCAACTCTATTCTGTCGAAAAATGCATAGTTGCTATAACTAAGGAAACTTTATTTAATCCCACAAGATGCTAACACGCTACCCTCATAATTAGATGAAAAGTCACTAAACTCGGAGTTCATCGAAATCCGCGTCGCATCGTCATATCTTATCCCAAAGTGCACGATTTCTGAATTTAAGGACACCGTTCGACTCAGCTCGACGAGGGGCATCTCCTTATGCATTGAAGTGCCCGTTTGGATACGGTCAATGCCCAGATTTCAAAGATTTTTGCCAGCGGTAGGATATTCAGTGTCAGTGAACAAGCACATTGAAGAATTTATGTACTACTAGCTGGCTTACCCGGCTCCGCCGTATGTTCCGAATAGAAAATTCCATTTCTTAACCGATCCGGACCAAACTTGGCACACATACACTTCGAGCCCCGGCGGGTGTCACAGTCCACTTTTTGTTATCGATCGATGTCAATGTTATCGATTTTTTGCAAAATTTGAGCTAGGGGGCTGGAATTTGGCAGAGGGGTGTAATCGAGCATGCTGATCACCCCCAGTGGGGTGATCAGCATGCTCGATTACCCCCCTGTGCCAACTCCCAGCCCCGTAGCTCAAATTTTGCAAAAATCGATAAAATCGGTATCGATCGATGACGAAAAGTAGCCTATGACACCCGCCGGGCCCGAAGTGTATGTGTGCCAAGTTTGGTCCCGATCGGTTCAGAAATGGAATTTTCTATTCGGAACATACGTACATACAGACCTACAGACAGACAGACAGACAGACAGACAAACAGACATTCAGCTTTATATATAAGATCATAAGCAAAAATCTAAGAAGGGCGAAATCTGATTACCTACCAAATCTACCGTCTCCAAACGACCACTTCCTCTACTATATCCAAAGCGTCTCGTACAGCTAAATCGAACGGTGCCCTTGGATTTCGAATTCAACATTATCAAGATATGGCGATGAGGCGTGGATTTCGGTGAACTCTCCTGAGTTCCTCGACATTCTGACGAACATGAGCGGCACTATATTACCCGATGTTTTGCATTCGTCTCTAGATCGTATGTCGCTACTGGAAGAGCAGTGGATAGAGTTGGAGGCTTCACTCCACCAGCAGCAAGAATGTACAAATTGGTATGTGTAACGCAGAGTAAGGTTCGCCCCAAACGAAAGAAATTTTCTAGAGATATGACTGTGAAATGGAAAACCTCGCAGTTGCGCACGCAAGAAAGTGTCAGTTCAAACACTCTGAAAGTAGCTCAAGACCAGGTGCTGGTGAAAATATTTTTGCTATAAGCCCTCCTGGTAACAAAGTGGAAATCGGCATCAGGGTAAGCTAAGATCGACTTTGAAAAACAGTGTGATGGAGGGCACGCCCAATGCTATTCAGGCTGCGTATGCTTGGGCTGAGGAGGTGTATAGGTACGGAGTAGGAAATGAGAATGTTTTCACCTGGGAGCTGATAAGCCGACCTTACACCGCTATCGGACATTACACTCAGGTAGTTTATTTTCAAAAAAAAAAAATCTGAGAAATTAAAACCATATCAGAATTCGCAAGCATTACATTGTTGGCCGATCAACTATTCAAGGGAAAATAATGATCTCGCTTCAACTGTAATAATAATGGATCATACATCCAACTTCTATAGCCCGACAGTCTACCGAAAAAGGTTCTCACTAGTGCTGAGAACTTCTTCGGTGGAGGCAGTGGATTCACTATCGGAAGCATGAATCGACCATACACCTTCTTACTGCACTGGCATCTGACAAAACAAGCATAGCTTGTGTTTTGGCTCTCATTACTTAAAACTTTCGTGCTATTTCACCCTTACTAATGACTAGAGAAATCAAACCAGATTACATCCTATCTGATTTTAATTCGTTATGCGCATTTCTTATTTATCAGGTTTGTCCAAAACTATAGCATCGGAGTTTACAAAAAGTCGTGGGTTTTCCTTAGTTCCACCGATTTTCTTTGATAGAGCATACCTAAGAAAGAGAAAATTTACTTTTTGGATTTGCTTTAAACAAATCTATACTGACATTTACTAACGATAAGATGCTTGATAAATAGAAGCAGTCAATCGTATTTATTCATTTGGCCGGTAAAAATGTTTAAGACCCAGAAAAATTTAATTTTACTTTTGATTGTGGTTTTAAGACTGAGTCTTTTCAAATGGGCGGAATTCTATGGATCGGATTTATGTACGGACAGCTATGTCGCTTTTTTGCTTGAAAATATTTCGAGCCTAACTTGCTTTTTACATGCTTGATGAAGGATCACTTTTGTTATATGTTACAAAAAATATAACTCAAACTAAAGGGTTTTCAAACAATTCTAAAACATTTTTTGCATTTTTTGTGGTGCAAGCCTATGCACAAACTCAATAGAATATTCAATACCATGATTTGAGCACATGATTTCACTACGGGAGTAGACAGTGTCACATTTTTTTTGAAATAATTTTACATCTTCTTCTCAATTTTTCTAGTGTCCATCAGCTGTCCGTAATTCGAAGTCAAATAATCATAACAAAGAGTGAGTCGCACACCAACAGGATGTCATCGCACAGCTAGATCCATTAAATTATAGGCATTAAAGGCAGTGTCCGGGCAAAAAGTCGATCTTGAGATTTTGTGCTTACCCGGGTCTCTCGCGAGGCAGAATTTGAAAATCTACACTGGAAAGCGCGAAAACGGCGAAAAAGGGCTTTAACGCAGGAGTGAAATCAAAAGTGGGCGGGGTCTTCCCCACTGTGAAATCGCAGTCCCAGTTTCCGGAGCGATCTTTTCAATTCCGGTTTCGGATCATGCGTTCGCATTTGGTCCGTGGAGATGTCAGGGCGGTTAGCGGAGTTGAAAAGATCGCTCCGGAAGCTGGGACCGTGAATTCACCGTGGAGAAAACCCCGCCCACTTTTGATTTCACTCCTGCGTTAGAGTCTTTTTCGCCGTTGTCGCGCTTTCCAGTGTGGATTTTCGGATTCAGCATAGCCAATAGGCCCAGGTAAGCACAAATTCTCAAAATCGACTTTCTGCCCGGGCACTGCCTTTAATATCAGTTGACAAATCTCTAGAATTTATAAAGGAGGCATTTACTTTAATATAGAGATATATTAGGTCGTTTCAAAAGTAATTTCGCTTTTTTCAAACAGGCACCACATTTGACGGAACAAAGTTTTCTAAGAAATCTTAGAGACATTCGATGCAGAATTTCATTTTCTTTCTAACGGTTACGAAATTTTTGCGAAACAATCAATGAGCTTTCAGAAAATAACCAAAATCTGCGACCCATGCTTTTTGAGATGGTCAAGTTTCACGATTTTTTGAAACTTTCATATCAACCCTCAGAAGGAGTTCAAGTAACGATTCGATGGAGCGAACCTTATAGAATACAAGACTGCTTTTTTTCTCCTTTCCATAGCTTGTCATACATTTTTAACAGAGTTATAACTGATGCTACCAATTTCCTTACCGGGGGCCGCTAAATCCTCGTAGAACATCAAAGCGAGGACAGTTCGGGTACTTTTCGATGCAGCATTTTCTCCTCTTTCTAACGGGGTTTTTTGTTTCCGTGTCGTTTAGTTTTCGGGGATAAAATCATCACAATTCATTTTTTGAGGAGCCCCAGGCTGTACCTGAAAAACTCGATTTGATATTTCGAGCCCGTAAAACCTCACTTGCTTTGTTAAATTAAGGCTAACTCATAGCACCATCTTGGTAATCTCAAATCCCGAAGAATTATGATGTTTGATGCGATTGTGACTGAGGTGGGCCTGCCAAAATCCGATGGTTCTATTGAAAAAATCTTTTAAAAAATTACGGCGAGCTACGAGAAAGAGTAAAAAGAAGTATTGTATTCTATAAGGTTCACACTATCGAATCGTTACTTGAAGTTCTTCTGAGAATTGATATGAAAGTTTTAAAAAATCGTGAAACTTGACCATCTCAAAAAGCATGGGTCGCAGATTTTGGTTATTTTCTGAAAGCTCATTGACTGTTTTGCAACAATTTTATAACCGTTAGAAAGAAAATGAAATTCTGCATCGAATGCCTCCAAGATTTCTAAGAAAACTTTGTTCCTTCAAATGTGGTGCCTGTTTGAAAAAAGCGAAATTACTTTTGAAACGGCCTAGTAGATTTGAGCGGTTTCTTTTTGATTCTTACGATATATCTATCAAAAGTGAAAACAAAAAAATATGAAGCTACGATTGAATAGGGGAGGAAAAACACCTTCCTAACATGTAATATTTCCAGATGGTCTGGCAGACGACAAAGTCTCTTGGCTGTGCCGTTGAGAATTGCTCAGATATGTCACTAGTAGTTTGCAACTACAAAGAAGCGTAAGACTTACAAAACTCAACTCACCTTGTTTGATGATAATTAGAGACTTTAGAGGAAATGTGATTGGTCAGCCAATTTATGAGACGGGTGTACCATGCTCAAAGTGTCCCGTAGGAGACGGATGTGCTGCAACCAACGAGAAACTGTGTCTTCTGAGCTAGGCTCTTTTTGCTTCTAGAATAAAGAATTCATTGGTGGATTGTTTTGAACACCACAAACCACCACTGAGCATCCGATAATCCTGCAAATATTGCAGGATTCGATGTCGAAGGGGATGAGCATGCGTTACAAAAAAACATTTTTTTTCATTAGAGAATATGTGCAATGACCTTAAAACAACTTTTCAACAAGTGCGAACAACAGAAATACTTCGAGTATGATTGAAATATAACAATTCTTCAAAAGTTCAACAAAACTGCGTCAAAAAAAAAACAAAAACAAAACAGAAACATGCAAATTATTGGTTGTCATAAGCTGTTACTCATCATCGAGATCGGCGAACGTTAGTTCTGGATGGCAGCGTGGCTGGAGACGTTCCAGGCAATGGAAAACCAGGTGGTGGTATACCAAACGGTGGTATTGCATACGGTACTCCAAAGCCAGGTGGTAGGGGATAAGGTCCTCCGAAATGTGGTGGCGGTGGTGGTGGGGGTGGATACACTCCTAAAAATTACCACTAACATTATCAAATACTCGAAGAAGCTCCGAGAATTAAGTCCCTCTGCAACTGAGCTCGTACAAAAAGCACTTGTAAGCACATTTAACAACCTTTTGTGTTTTCCTATCTCGATGTCTTGTCTAAAATGAGTAAAGACGACTAGTGAACCAGTAATTAAAGCCAGCGTTCAGGCAAATCTGGACATATGGGGCTCTCACATGGATAGTAATCTTGGGGCCCTAACTAAGCCACTGCCCAAGCGGCAACTCAGGTAGTGCTCTAGCGGCTTAGATATTCGTCTCAAATTGAACCCCGGGATCGTATTTCGCATGAACAGGGCGCACCCATAGGTCCTCGCGCGAGATGGTTTGCGCCATGAATCCATGCGAAATAATCCCGGGGTTCAGTTTTGAGGCGAATATCTCAGCCTTTAGTGCAATACCTGAGCTGCCGGTTGGGCAGTGGCTTAGTTAGGGCCCCAAGATTACTAATCACGTGAGAGACCCATAGTCCAGATTTGCCTGGACGCTGCCTTTAGAGGTGTTAGAATACTTCCGCGCGCCGCCTTCGGTTTTCTGCTATTGGAGGATTTTTGAATTGGCGCTACAATTCTTTATATGATTAAAGACGACAATACTCGTGGATGGGTCACCAGTTTAGCAAGCTTTGACGTCGCAAGAAAGTTCCTGAGAGTGGGAAAGGAAAAAGGGGGAAAAGGAACTTTCCGAGGACCAACTTGTTTGCGAATCCCGATGGCTTCAATTGGAACGACAAGATGGGTCCCCTGGAATTTCGACCAAAAATTTCCGTAAACTTTGACGTCAAGTGCAATGCAATCAAGAACTTCCTGGATTTTGAAACTTTTCTCGGTTGTACGGATGTACAGATAAAGTGGCCTGAATAAGATATCAAGGATGCGCGAAGTGAGTAAGGGGCGAGGAAGCTGAAGCGCCCCAAGTTTCCTACGGGACTGAGCACAGCAACAAAATGATGACCTGCGCAAAATTTCGCCACAACAAAAGCTCGTCTTGTAAAACCTGAATTTGAGATGGAATGATGTAAACGTACCGTTTTGACTGTGCGCTGAATACGTGGGATTTTGACCAAAGGGAGGCATATAAGGAAATGGCGGAGGCTAAATAGAAGTTTAGTTGGTGGTAATCAATAGCAAAACCGGCGCTATTCCAGTATCGGGGGCCTCAAAATTTCGAAGTCATGGATTTTGCTCAAAGTCTGAGGAGGTTATTCAACCCGCTGATGCCGAATACCATACTAGTTTTGCGCGGTAGCGCCGTTTTTCGCGGTCACGGTGGGTATACGGTGGGGGGGGGGGGGTCAAAACCACGGATTCCGCCTAAGCTTGGCCCAGAGTGGTTATTTGGCATGCTGATCACTAATATCATACTCTTTCTGCATTTCGAAGCCTTGTCCTGTAGTTACGGTAGGTTTGGTAAAGGGTTAAACTCTCAAGTTTGGCTGGAATTCAGTCTAGAGGGGTTATTTTACATGCTGATCACAAATATCAAACTCCCCTTGCGTTTTAGGACCTTTTTGCGGGCTTACTATGATAGAGGGTCAAAACCATAGACTGCTTGAAAATGTGTGCAGGGGGCTATGCGACTCGCTAATCACGAATATTGAGTTCATTCCGCATGGTAAAGCCTTTACGTAGATTTCAGTGATCTAAATTGGCCCGAAATGCGAAGAAATGTCTACTCATAGGCTGAACTACCGCAACTCGACAATAAAGCGTTATTGCCGCGAGCAAGCACGGTATCCGTAATCAGCATGATCAAAAACTCTTCTAGGCAATGTTTCAAGCGAACTCGGAACTGCGACCTGTCTACCGTATACTCATCCTAGTCCAAGAAAGCCGCGCTTTTTTGAGAAATTAGCATAGGCCGCAGACAGAAAAAAATTTGATATTCGCGATCAGCACGTCAGAAATCCCCCCTAGACCAAAGTTCAGCCAAAGTCGTAATTTTGTCTCCCTATCGTATGTCCACTATAGCCCCACCAAATGACATTTTTGTGCAAAAAGAGTGTCATACAGTGCTGGACATAATTGTAGAGACACTCTAGAAATCGTCGTAATTTTCGTTCTTGTCAGTGAATCTGTCTGAAACTTTGCTGTATGGTGCGCATGTAAGCCTACCATACCTCAGAACGGCTTCCAATCCCGTTGATTACGAACGGAGAAAAACGGAAAAATTCGAAAAAGCTCGTTTTGCAAGCTGGACATAATTATAAAGACACCTGACCTTTTTAAACATTATCGCATTCCTTGACTCCCAAATTTTTTCTGTAGAGTTACATCCCAGAATATGAAACTCTTGCAGCACCTAGGACCTGTCATGCTACTCAAGGAAAGATGATCCTTCCATTTTTCGTTTCCAAAGGCATCAGAAGTCAAACTGCTTCAATAAACAACTGGTTTGAAGAGTATTCAAGCGGGGAACGGAACTTACCTACCCGAGACATTTTCGCACCTCATGGGTATGTGCCTGTGGGGTATAATTAAGCATAGCGAGCTCGCTGATTCCATATGCTCCTTAGGATACAGCGCTAAGCTAAGCCTCGCCCACACATTGCACCTTTTTGGCATAGAACCAAGACATGAAACAGAAACAATGAGAAAGCAGTTTTACACGCGTCCTAAGGCACGCTTTATTTTTTTGTCGAGATTTTTTGAGCTGAAAGTCGAATTCACCAAAGTAAAATTTCGGCTATGTAAGAAAAGACAGCGCAGAACCAATAGCATATTTGAAAGAGCGCCTCAGAAAACCCCCAAATCTGCGTCTTAATCGAAATAGCAGATAGATGCTAAACATCAGTTTTGTGATTCTATTGAATTCCCCTTTCATGATTGATGGATGCATCGCGAAAGCGTCGATGGATGGAGGCGGGGTTTAGATTACACACAGACTAGGCTCTGTACACTATGCTAATTGCGTATCTGACTGCTCATAATACCTAAGGTATGCTGCGGCAAGTCTTTCGGGTAGGTAAGTTCCCGCACCCTATTCAAGCCCTTGTTCATTTCAAATGATAATCATGGAGTCTACTGATCCTTCAGGATAGATGAGGTGAAGAGCGCTTTCGTAAAATCCGCAATCGCTGATATTGACAATCAGACTCCAACCTCACCATAGGGTTGTCGCGCTTTTACACCACAAAACTCGATTTTCAAGTTACAGAAAACGCTGCAATGTAGCCGCAACAATACACGTACAACAATAAACTTGTGTGCTTAGTCAGAAAAAAATTTCCGTGTTGCACATTCTGGTTCAGCTGCAGTTGTCATCCATAGAGAGTTGAATCGAGCACCCTGCACAATCATATCCAACTCAAATCAAGAAATCGAACAGGAGACCGCTTGAAACTTCAAAAACATGCTAGTCTCAGCTACCGCGCAAAATGCGACATGAAACAGAGAATAAAATAGTGAGATTTGTGATTATGTTGAATCTACTGCTCGCATAGAATTTTCGTGGGAAGTATTTCATGTCTAAATCGCTACCGCGTCATTAGGGGAAATCTAAAAGTTGTTGCAAAAGATGCATCTCCATGTAGACAATGTAATAAATCGAGTCCATCACTTCACGAACATTGGAAAGTGAGTTTTGTGGTTTGAAAGCGTTTCAAGCCTATGTTGAGGTTGGAGTCTGTCCGTCAAAATCAGCGATTACGCAGAGTTTACGAAAGCGCTCTTCATCTCGTCTATCCAGAAGGGTCAGTAGATTTCATGATTATCATTTGAAATGAACAAGGGCTTGAAAACTCTTCAAACCAGTTGTTTATTGAAGCAGTTTGACTTCTGATGCCTTTGGAAACGAAAAATGCAAGGATCATCTTTCCTTGCGTAGCATGACAGGTACCAGGTGCTGCAAAAGTTTCATATTCCGAGATGTAACTCTACAAAAAAATTTGGGAGTCAAGGAATGCGATAATGTTTAGAAAGGCCAGGTGTCTTTATAATTATGTCCAGCTTGCAAAAAGGCTTTTTCGAATTTTTCTATTTTTCTCCGTTCGAAATCAACGGGATTGGAAGCCGTTCTGAGGAGTTATGGTAGGCTTACATGCGCACCATACAGCAAAGTTTCAAACAGATTCACTGACAAGGACGAAAATTACGTTTTCTAGAGTGTCTCTGTAATTATGTCCAGCACTGTATTCGTAATCAGCATGTCGAATAACCCCCAAAGACCGAGACGAGTTATAGCGAATTCACGACTTTGAAATTTTGAGGCCTGGACAGTGGGATAGCGCCGCAAAACTTACTTACAATTGGTGGCAAAGGATACATTGGCGGCATGTACGGCGGAGGTGGTGTGCCAGCGTGGTTCCTAAGACTCAGCTGGTCCCTGGAACTGCTAATTGTATTGGAAAGAACTAAAAGTTTGAGAAGTACTAGCAAAGGCTGGAACATCTCAACTAACATTCTTCGTTCGTCGTTGCGGCTTTGTGTTCTGTCACTTCCGCCACTAGCGACTTGACTTCCACCTTCTAGATCGTCCCCAGCGTAACGAGGAGAAGAAGCAGCATAACTAGGTGGTCGAGGAGTTGAAGGGCGACTACTTTGACCTGGAGTACGCGCGTAGGAAGGCGTATTCGGTCTTCCGATTGGTGATTGCCCTCCATTCCAGTATGAGGTAGCACACCTTGCATTGGACCTTCGACCTCCATAAAGACTGAGAGCACTTTCGCCATATGTAGGCGACCCAGAGCAATATCTGGGAGACTGCGTGGAGTATGATGTAGCTGATCCGTATGCTGGGGTATGAGGTGTCTCGAATGATGGTGAGCAAGTAAATTCTGTCCGAGAATCAGATGCAGATACGTGGTTCTCCAAGTCTGGTTCGTGGGCTGGTGTTTTTGTCGATGGCTGAAAAAGTGAATGATCGAATATGGCAGACTAATGTTGAAAGACTGATCTCGAAAGCAAGGAGGCATAGCAGGTTTAATCAAAGAATGTGACCCACAGTTGTACAGCCCAGAATTCTCCCAGATAATTTCAAGGCCTAAGGCAAACGCCAGGATTGTAGCGTTGTTTCGGTTTGGCCCACCGAAAGAGCGCACGCAATTGCCAGCAAATCAGCGTAAGCGAGTCAAAAGTATGGTATACCCAAAATGAGTATTTGCCGTATTTGAGTAAAACAACAGATAATTGTTATGCGCGGAGCTACAATGACGACTACAGAATAGAAACTTCTGAATGGACTGATTCAGCGAACTTTGCGGTCCGGGGTCGACAACTACCGTATGATTAAGCCTAGAGCATGTCACTTATGTCATACAAGTCCTTCCACTTTAAGCTGATAGAGAAAATGAATAATCATGGTTGTAACAATCTAAGAAAAACGTAATGCATTTTACCTGTTTCCAAAATGGACTCATCGGAACATGTGGACCGGGACTTCTCGAAATTCCCCGTCGAGGCGATCGAGGCGGAGATGGATTTTCCTCTAGTAGACCATCCTGTCTACTCTTTTTACTGAATACTCGAGCTGTTCCTGTGAGGCGTCTTTTTGCATCTTAAGTAGAGAACTATTACGAACTCGTTAGTAAATGAGAGATAGAAAAAGCACCTACTCTTATCTTGAATAGAGATTTGATCGTCTGCTCCGGGTTGGGAAGACGGCTGTGCATCTGAAGATATTGCTGGAGGGGGTGGCGGAATCATTATGATGTCTGAATATTCAGACGAATAACTACCTCCAAAGATGCAGTACAAGTGAAAGCCTTAGTGTCCAGATTTGCCAGCATTGTTTTCAAAGGGATGGAATTTCATCACTATATGTCGCCGAAAGTGGGCCACAAAGACTGCGGCAGAGTGCGGAGGCTGCTACAAAGACATAGGTTCTTGAGCGACTCTGCGTCCAAGAGCCGGGCATAGATCACGCGATTCCATCGCCTCGCGATTTTGCAGCAAGACCACTACCAGTTCATCGCATGCCGATCATCTTCATTTTGGTTGTAATCTAATCGCGATTACTCGTGTCGAAAAACTACCACAACCGAAACGCAAGATGATCAGCATGCAACGAACTGGCAAGACTGTCTTGTTGAGATAACGCGAGGCGATGAAATCGTATGATCAAATTCAAAATGAATCGCAATGGAATGCCGTTCTTGCCGTTTTCGCGCTGGAATGTGGATGCTTGAGTTCGAGTAACCGATAAGCCCAGGTAAGCGATAAATCCAGAAATTGATACTAAGAGGGGACATTGCCTTCAAAGTCTGCCCTTGGTTCGCGCAAATTTCATGCAAATATGGGAGTTTACAAACTTTTTTGATTATCGTTTTTGGAAAAAAAATGCAGGCGGCGTGAATACGATTACCGGCGCACTAGCATGGAGGGGTTACTGCGAAGGACTACGAACAGTTGTTAGGTGTATTTCATTGACCTCTTTGTCGTTTCAACGGCGAATCTTCTAAGCACCGTCCACCCGAATGCTCTACTTCCATATTTACGTCATTCCGGCCTACCAAGTCGAGAATCCGCGAAAACCCCATTTTTCCCCAACCCTGCAGGGCAAGTTCCCGATTGGTTGGACGCTCACAAATTGGCGGGACGAAGGTCACGGCCACTCATGAGGGAGGAGCCGACGTGGCGAAGTCATCTAAAGCGATTTTCAAACTTCTAGTTCCGGAAGCAACTTTAGCAGCGCGAGTTGGGCACGTAGACAGTTGGGGCCCCGTACTGTTAGACATCAAAATCTCATTCTCATTCTGAATGGACGGTGCCTTATAGGGGAATCCAAGTTCATGGAAATGCGGGTGAAGGAGTGTGTAGCTTGTGTCAACCACGTGCTCCTTCTTCCACTGCGCAATCGCCACGCCAGAGCTTCGCACCTCCACCGGCCCTTGGACTAAAGATCAGTCACATAAGGCCCTAGCGTTGCCCGCTGACATAGACTACGCGTTCATTGTCCTTGGCGAACAAGTTTGTAGTTGGGACCAAATATTTTGACTGCTAGGCCAGACTTGGCAACTCATACGAGCAGCGTTTACCTTCAAATGTGAACACATACCTAGCGCTCACAATCAGTGGCGGTCCGAAGAGGGGGGCGTGGGGTGCGAGCGTCCCCCCCCCCCCGAGAATGGGTCGCGAAATTTTTGAAATCACTTTCATGGGTTATAAAAATGTGCAAGTGACTTGTTTATTCTGTGAACAATTAACACAATTTTTAAAATTTTCAAAAATTCAATTTAGCCTTGTAAAAAAAATTTTTTTTCCGTGGCGTGGCGGTAGCCACGCCCTCTTGTCTAGATTTTAGGGGTTACGGGCCCGCAAAAAATTTGAGATGCATCCCAAAAATTTTTTCGGAGTGCGTGGCTAACGCCATGCTTCTTCATTTGAAAAAAAAATTTTGCCGTATCCTCCCCCCCCCCCCCCACCTCCCCGGACCGAGATCCTGCGACCGCCACTGCTGGCACTGTCTATGGAACGAAACAATACTCACCAGGAGTTTCATGGTCGTCATTCAAAGAAACCGGAGGAACGCTAGGAGGCTGTGGTGGGGCAGGAAGAGGTAATGATTCATCCGGCTCTGCTAGCACTGTAATTGCTGCCTCTTGAGCTGGCACCGGCCTTCGTGTGGGCTGCTGTTCTGTCTGCCCTACAGATTCTGAAGCATGCCGATGATGGAGGACGAATATGACATTCAAGCTTGGATTTTCATACCCGCGGATGACGCGCGCTCTTGCTGTTGTAAAAAAACGTTGCTGAACATTCGTGGTTCTGGCAAAGAGCTGCTCCATAATGAAGTCACTGGATTCTCATTTTCAGCTGACGGACCAAGTGAATGTCTAAAGAAGAATACTCAGACAATCGCAAAGAATTTCCGGCGCAAACTGAACTTCTAGAACTTCCCGGGGGAGGGGATGCTTCCTACTGGGCCGGTGGCTTGGGCAGTGCGCGCCTACCTGGCAGCTTCAGTAGGAGTGTCCCCCGGAAGTTTTAGAACTTCAGTTTGCGCCGGAAGTCCTTTGCGATTGTCTGCTTCGGCAAATGAGAGAAGCACTTACTGCAATAGCATAACAAAAGAGTTTCAAAGATTCTTACCTCTCTTGCTCTATGTCCGTCATTGGAGTCCTGCTACAACTCGGAGATCTGTTCCGGATTGAAGAATAGTAGGCGGGGCTGCAGTAAAAATACTACGCATGTATTCAAATTATCTCCAAACAACTCATCATATCTTCTAAGATTTATATCAGTATACACTTCCTCACTGAGAACTCACCCAATTTCTTCTTCGTCATCATCAAACGCAGGAGATCGAGGTGTTCCATCCGGGTAACACGACGGCATTCGCAGGATGGCACAGATTTCACCTACAGATAGGTGCCAGAGTAAGCGAATATTTTGTTCAGCTTCGTTCAACTGCAAAAGGCGCACAGAATTAACGTTGATTCTGCGCGGGACCTGCAGCTGAAGCAGGCCTTGGCAGCAGCAGAGATTTTGCAGCAGACATTAATTCTGCGCGACTTTGCAGCTGAACGAAGGTGAACAAAATATTCGCTTACTCTAGCACCTACCACAGAGAGCGCATTTGCATCCTATAGGCCGTCCGCGCAGGGCGGCGCGGCGAGTGCGCAAGTGTGTATTGCGCGTCACTCGTCTTTCCCCGTGCACTCTCGTCGCCTGTTTTCTCTGCGCTTCTTCCAGTCATGAACTATCCTTAATGGACGCTACAGCGTTGCTCTCCGTGCACAGCGCGGACGGCCTATACTTATCTCAGCCATTGGCTCACTGTTACTGCCCCAACCGGGATCAGGCCGAACCGTCGGCGTAAATTTGCGCGCTCGCAGGCTAGGCGTCTGCCTTCATGAACGCGTTCGAACGCGTTCTAATTGACTATATAAGGTAACCATGAAAGACATGTTTGAATTCGTATTTTTAACGAGCTCGAGTATGTTCTTACCGAATTTTCTTAATAGTAAATTATCCAAAACACGTTAGAACTCATTCATGATCTTGTTAATCAAACGTACATATGCAAAGCGTGCTCGCGTTTCTTAGCGAAAGAATGAATGATGTTGTCGACGCTCTGTACTCGCTCGATGATCCATTCATCTATCCTGAGAATCGAGAGCGCTTTGCTTGTGAGCAGCGACTATGCAGTGGACGTATGCGGAGCGCACCATAAAACCTAAAACACTGTCCAAGCGGCAAAGCAAATGTGCACTCGAGACTGAGGCGTTCATCCCCAAACTAGACCTCGCTACCGTAATGCGAACGACTCGCATTGGCTTGCATGCTATTGCGGATTAGGGGACAGTTTTCTTGGCAGGGGCAGTATGCATACACTCTCACTTCTCTCTTTTCGTTTCTGCGGTGCAAATAAGCTACATATAAAAATTCCGAAACGTTCTGTTTTGCCGGTCATCACTGCAACAATCTGATATTTCACCTTCACCTTATTTTTGAATGGGGTGAATTTTTACTGCTTTGTACAAGATGGAGAAGTCCAGCTTGTTTAAGGGTGCTTTCACCCATAAACATAGCGCGTCGGCAGCCGCCGTTAAAAGCAGTGTCCGGTCAAGAGTCGATGTTGAGACTTTGTGCTTACCCGGGCCTATTCGCTTGCTGAACACAAAAATCCACGCTGGAGAGCGCGCAAACGGAGGGAAAGGGCTCTAACGTTGGAAGTTAATCAGCAGGGCGGAGGCCTTCCCCACTGTGAATTCACGCTCCCAGCTTCAGGAACGATCTTCTCAATTCCTTTAGCTGCCCTAACATCGCCAACGGCTAGTGCAAACGCGTGATTTGAAATCGGAACCAAGAAGATCGCTCCGGAAGTTGGGAGCGTGAATTTACAATGAGGAAGACCCCGCCCACCTGGTAAGTTCCCTCTGCGTTAGAGCCCTTTTTCGCCTTTTTCGCGGTTTGCGCGGTTTTGCTTGGTTTGCTACATTTGTCCTGGCTCATTTGTCCATGGGACTCACTCTTTGGGCGACATAACCCCCATTTTCCACGAAGCACAGACATTAATGTTTTTCTCGCATGGAATTATCGTACACTCGCAGTTCCGTGCTACTCTCGCTGCTATGTAGGATACGGCAGGACCAGCTCCACGGAGGACGATTAGGAGGCACAAGCACTGACGCAATTTTGCAAAGCGTTTCCGCAACGCGATGTATCGTCCATTCCACAGTTGCTGCTGCCTTTGTTCTGCGTCTCTGACCTGTGGTACGCATGGCCAATATGTTGGCAACATGCAGCATATTGGCGCTGAGGCTGATAGTCAAAATGTTCTGGACATGTTGTTGCATGTCGTTAACGCTTTAGCCATACGTGGCGCAGGTCAGAGACGCAGACCAAGGTAGCAGCAGCAACTGTAGAAGGGACGATAAGCCTGCCCCATTCCCAACCAAGCCAAAATTGGCATGGCGGGAGGATGCTGCATCACGTCTACGGCTATAGTCGTCCTCACCCCACTAGTCGGTCGGTGGTCGAGTTTGAATTCGAACTGGAGCAGGCCGTCCGCGGCAGAGCGCGGCAGACCGCTCTCAGCCAACCGCTTGCACGAGCTTTTTTCTTATTAACTTCATGTTTCTTTGATATCCCTCATATCACAGCAATGTTTCTAATCAGATTTTAAGATTTCGTACCAATAACTCTTTGAAACAAACACATTTTGAGAGAATTTCAGCCCTAAAATGGTTTAGAGTATACATTTTAACGAAATACTGTGACACAGTTCATCAAATCACATTTATGTATATGTCACTTACCGGGAAAGAGATTTCTCACCCAAAAATCTCCAATCGCATCTTTTCCCGGGTTACCTGGAAAAAATGTAAAACAAATGAGCACAACTGCACAAATTAATAGTTAGCGGTACCGGGTTTCAAAATCTGATTAAGAACATTGCCGCAATACGAGAGATAGCAATGAAACACGAAGAAAATAAGAAAAAAGCTATGTGCAAATGGTTGGCTGAGGGGCGATCTGCCGCGCTCTGGCGCGGCCGCCCTGCTCCAGTTCGAATTCAAATTCGACCACCGACCGACTAGTGGGGTGAGGACGACTATAGCTAGTCTGCTCTCTCTTTAAAGGCAGCGTACAGGCAATGTCAACTACGTACTCCCTTTCGCATGGGAACAACGCATGCGCAACGCAAGGGCCTGCGTGTGGACCTCCAATCGATTAGGCTCATTTGCATGACGAGTCATACGCGCGCAAACGTGGCGCGAAGCTCATTGCATTGACGGAAAAGGGAGCACGAGATTGGCACAGATTATACACCCAAAATCTAGGTCAGTTCTCTATACGGTGTATATGTAGGACCTAGACGAAGACGAACTGCTTCGGTTCGGTCTCCCAATGTTGCCTCTAAGCAGAGAAAACTCGCCTTCTTTTTGCGTTCCGCCCCTTTCTTTGCGGTCCGCCTCTTTCGGACGAATCCACGACAGCGTAGTTGCAGTTGCAGTTGCAGTTGCGCACTTGCAACACAGTTGCTTTTTGCGGTCCGCCTTCTTCGGATGACGAATCCATGGCAGCATACGCTGCAGTTGTAGTTGCAATTGCAGGCTGTCACGCAGTTGCAGCTGCTCCTCGCTGGCATGCCGAGGGTCGAGCAATTCGAAACTCGTCCTCCCTCTAAAGGCAGCGTACACCCAAAATTTCACATTCGATTTTTTTGTCATTTTGGGGCCTTTCCGTGCCGCTGATTACAGTTATGTCATTGAAATCCTCCAAAAGTCCCAAAAAACCCCGATTTCCGGGGACCATCTCTTCAGGGCGGACGGGTTTCGAACTGCTCGTCCCCGTCGGCATGCCAGCAGCTGCAACAGCATGACAGCCTGCAGTTGCAACTGCAACTGCTGCATATGCTGTCGTGGTTCGTCGCCCGAAGGAGGCGCACCGCAAAAAGCAACTGCACTGTTGCAACTGCAGTTGCAGATGCAGCAGCATTACAACAGCAACTGCAACGGCAACTGAAGCTTACGCTGTCGTGGATTCGTTTGGAGAAGGCGGAGTGAAAGAAAAGGGGCGGAGTGAAAGAAAATTGAGGGGGGTTTTCTCCGCTCAGAAGCAACATTGGGAGACCGGACCAACGCAGTTGGTCTTCTTCTGGGCCCAGTATATACACGGTATAGAAAGATCTAGGAAATTCGGTAACTTAGGTGTACGCTGCCTTTAAGAGAAGGTCCCCGGGAATCGGTTTTTTTGGAATTATGGAGAATTTTAATGTCATAACTGTAAACAGGGACACGGAAAGGCCCCAGAATGACAAAAAAGGCGAAGTTTTGGGTTTACGCTGCCTTCAATCTCCGCTCTTTGTGACAGCGCGCGTAAGCAGCAAAAACTCTAGCGATGCGAGCGCGCAGATTTAGCCGATGCTTCAGCCTGATCACGATTGAAGCAGACTATAAATACGAGAGCCAGCACTCCTATCGCAATGTTGAGGGCAGTGGCTCGGCAGATCGACGACTTTGAATTTGGCTTTCTCGATTCCCCCCTGCATGAGCTGAGTCCAAATCTGTGTCTTGCAGCTTCTGGAGATATTGATAACTCGCCCTTTACCTTTCGAGGTTGAAAGTGCTGTTTGGGCGGGAAGCGAAAGCCCGTCCACTAGACAACGATTGGCTTGTGGAATCCAGATGGGTGGAGAGAATGGAGCTTTTACGTCCAGGAAAGCGAGTTATCAATGGCTTTAAAAGCTGCAAAGTTTAGCTCTAGACTTAGTTCATCCAAGGGAGATAAAAACAATGAATATCCCAGAGTTGTCCATCTGCGCAGCTTCAAAGGCAGTGTGTCCCACCAAAATCGGGGTTGCGAGTTTTCACCCCGAGTCCGAATCGATCCGAGCCCTTCTACACCAAGAAATCTGCCCTCAAAGTGGCTCGCAAATCGCGAATTTGGCCCGCACAGCCGACCATCCCGTTGTTTCTCGCGCGTTTTACGCGTTTCAACATGTCCCTCCATTTGGCGTCCACCTCCATGGTGTTACTGCCACTGTGACAAGCGCAAGGCTGAGAAGGCACAACTTGTCCGCGCCGCTTCTACGGGGCTTTCAAAAACGACGTTTTCGTGCATGTCATGTGATTTTGGACCCTCATTGTCATGTGATTTTGGACCCTCATTGAGTTAGGCAGGAACTGCAAGAAGGCCTGCAACATGCCAATATCTCTACAACCAAAATTTGGTGAGGTACTGCCTTCAATACGTTGACGACGAGACTTTTTTTAATGTCTGTCTCTGTGGACGAACCGCTTTCTACGTCTGGCTATAGGCCGTCCGCACAGGGTGCGGAGAGTGCGCAAGGTGTGTATTGCGCGTACCCTCTTTCCTCGTGCACTCCCGCCGCCTGTTTTTCTCTGCGCTT